TCCTCCTCCCCTCTCCAGAGACTGGGCAGCTGAAAGTTCAACCCACACAGATCAAACCAGGTGAAGAATGTGCTTTATGAACAGGAAAAGTGACACATTGTGTCAAATGCTGCTGAAAAACCAATAAAATTAGCATGAGAATTGACCCAAGGTTTTAAAGAAAAATGTGGAGGTCATTGGAGATCACAATATGTACTTTCAGTGAAGTGCTAATATCAAAACTTAATTAGAATGTATTTAGAAAACACTACACTGTGGAAAACTAAAGAGAATTGTGTGTAGACAACACTTTTAAAGGTGGAAGTTGCTATGAAGTTTATCACAGATAAGAAGTGAAGAAGTGGTAACCAATATTAAATTTGGGGTTCAGGGAATTTTGTTGATGACGATGTTGTTTATGATGTGAGCGATTTCAGCATGTTTGTAGGTTGAGGACCTAGTATATAGGAATAAATTGATGACATAGGATAGAAAAGTTATTTGCAGGAACAAAACCTGTAATTATAGTAAAACAGATTATGTGGGTGCAGATTTAGTTACATGGGTAAATATGGTGGTATGACATGCAGTAGGTCTCTTAAGATAGCCTGTATTTCCTCCATGAAATCAGAGGCTAATAAGTTGAAAGTGATAAAAGATGAGACAATATTAGATGTTTGCAAAGGTGTAAAATATTTGTTTGAATCAGGGGGAAAGAGGATGAAGACAGACTAGGAATTTTTGTATGATCACCTGAAAGTACTAAAAAAACCACTTTATATTTTAGTCATAAAATTAAAACAAGACAACAGATAGAAATCTTAAGCCAATTAGATAGATGTAAACTATATTTGGAATTTCTTGGCTTCTGCAAACACTTTAAGTAGTATTGGGAAATATTTGGATTGAGAAAGCAACCTTCTAGTAAGTCAAAGAAACCAACAAAATGTACAATGGTCAAGGGATCAAAAGGAGACACTTTCGGGAAATTAGGTCTTGACATGAGCTTATTGTTTTTGCACACAAAACTAGTAGAGATGGAGATGATAGTGATAGTGGTAATGGTGTTGTGTTTATTTTAAAAGATGACACTGTTTCAGTGTCTCCAACCTCCTTTCCATATTCAGAAAGGATGAGGATGCAACTCATTGAGTGTTTGTGTTCCATGGCATACAGTTTTTGACATTCAAAGCAAAGTTCAGGCTACTTGTCCTTCCATTTCTTGCTCATTATCCCTGTTAACCCACAAAGGAGCTCTGCTTGCTTAGCCAAAATGCACCACTCAAAACAGAAAGGGGAACACTCTTATTGTATTCAGATGTATCCTTTGAAGGGTGAGAAATACTGCATTAGGATTTACTTTTGTTAATATTACTACTACTGTCTTCCCAATGTCACTGAAATCAGGCCATTTGATAAAGCTACACAGTGGGCTCAGTTACCAGCAAACTGCTCTTCTTGATATTGTCGGAAAGATTCTGTAGGAACACTGTTGTATTGCTGATGTAACAAGACCACCCTGGCTAGATCTCAGTAAATCAGATCAATGCTTGCCTTAATGACATTTCTACATGAGTCACTGTCTGTGCTAGTTTACTGTGGCTATAAATGAACACCTGAAGCTGGGTAATATAAAAAGCATAGAGGTTTATTCAGCTCAGTTCTGCTGACTGGAAGATTCAAAATCAGACATCTGGTGAGGGCCTCCGGCTGCTTCCACTCATAACAGAAGGCAAAGACAAGCTGGAATTTTCAGAAATCATTTGGTGACAGCAGAAGCAAGAGAGAGGGGAGAAAGGTGCCAAACTCTTTGTAACAACTAACTGTCTTGGAAACTATGAAGAGGAAGAACTCACTTACCCACCTGCCCACACATTCGCCATCTCTGCCAACGAGGGCATTGATCTATTCATGAGGCATCGTCTCCTATGATTCACACACTTCCCATTAGACCCCAAATCCAATATTGGAATTAAATTTCAACATGAGATTTTTAGAGCGAACACCTTTTTTTTTTTTTTCTTTTTTTTAATTGCATTTTAGGTTTTGGAGTACATGTGAAGAACATGCAAGATTGTTGCATAGATACACTCATGGCAGTGTGATTTGCTGTCTTCTTCCCCATCACATGTATCTGGCATTTTTCCCCATGCTATCTGTCCCCAACTCCTCACTCCCTGCTGTCCCTCCCCTATTTCCCCCCAACAGACCCCAGTGTATGATGCTCCCTTCCCTGTGTCCATGTGTTCTCATTAGAGCAAACATCTTAACTATAGTAACCACGTACAATGACACTCAACAGGACTCATTACTCCTTAACGCTGTGTGTTGTATCCAGTTTCTCTGTCAAAACACAGCAGGATTTTCATGGTCAGAGCTTTACTGCATAAAAGAGACGACAACCAATGGACCCCTATTCAACTGGTTGAACTTTTAACAGTAGGCTGCATTTCGTAGTATTTTATTGTTTCCAGAACATGTTTATGTGCATTACCTCATTTGAGTTTTATAGTTTTTTGAGGTGTCAGAAAATAATTTATTCTATACATTTTAAAGTAACATAATTGTAGCTTATACTGTGGATTCCTGAAGACTATATAGATAGTAAATGGCAGAGCGCTACCAAACTCAAGTCTCCTAGAAGAGTGTTCTTTCTATGATATATTGCCACAGTGTCTTCCAAATGATCTTGAGTGTAGTTCAACCATTTCTTTCTTTCTTTTTTTAATTGCATTTTAGGTTTTGGAGTACATGTGAAGAACATGCAAGATTGTTGCATAGATACACCCATGGCAATGTTATTTGCTGCCTTCCTCCCCATCACCTTTATCTGGCATTTCTCCCCATGCTATCTCTCCCAAACTTCCCACCCCCTGCTGTCCCTCCCCTATTTCTCCCCGACATACCCCAGTGTGTGATGCTCCCCTCCTTGTGTCCACCTGTTCTCATTGTTCAACACCCACCTATGAATGAGAACATGCGGTGTTTGATTTAGTTCAACCATTTCTAAATAAAAGCCTAATCTGTGCTAAGCATTATGCTATAAGCTAGAGAAATAATTATTTTTACCTTTTATTTTCAAGATAAAATTTTATGAGTTTATTTTACTTATATAAATAACAATATGTATGAACTATAGGAGATTAGAACAATCCTAAATTTAAAGAGAAAAGTAATAAACCATTCTATTTTACTGAGGTAACTTCCTGTATGATTTAAATTTTTTTTCTGTTAAACCTTAAAAATTCAGCATGCTAATAGAATGAAATAAAAAAATCTAATAGAATATCATGGAGATACTTTAGCATGTGTCCTTGAGAAAGAAGTGTGATAATATTCCACTATGATTGTAGATTGTCAAATGCTTCTAATAATCATTTCAATTTTCTTGTAAATATTTTCGAGCTATTCTATTTAATGCATTCAACTATTAAAATGGCTATAATCTTGATAAATTGTCCATTTTATCATTATGTATTGACCCTCTTTATTCCTAATGGTTTTGCCTTAAAATTTGCTTTGTCTAATATTATAGCCTCATCAGACTTCTTTTGTGTATTTGCCATCTCCATCTCGTCACATTAAACCTTTCTGGGTGCTTGTATTTTAGATGTATCTCTCATAAATAATTTATAATTTATTTCTGCCCAATCCATCAATTCCTACCTTTAATTAGTGAGTTTAGTGTATTTATGTGTATTATGATGACAAATATGAATTAACTTCACTTTTACCATCATAACATTTGCTTTCTACTTATCCTCCATTTTCTATACATTCTTTTTTTGGGGGGGAAATGTAGACTTTTAATAACTTCTTTTATCACAGGTAAAGCCACGCAGTTACAAAGTTGTTAGAAATTTTTGAAAGGGTGTTAAAGTTTTTTTTTTTTTGTTGTTGTTGTTGTTGTTTTTTAAAAAAAGGTTCATTCTTACACATATATTACCTAGCACTTCACTGGGACACTACTGTTCAAAAGGTCCTGACCAAGTAACTCCCAAATGAAACACTCAACCCAAGGTTGTTTTCAGCCTACTGTGAGTGAAACTGGGTGCAGGATGCACAGCCTCTAAAAGGAGAGGACATAAAGTCAGGTGAGTAGGGGCCATTGGCAATGCTCAGAGCCAGCCAGAGTCCAAACAGGGAGCCCAGTGGTATTTTTCCAGGACATTCTACTTGAATTATTGTTCAATTAGTCAACAATAGATCTTCAAAAGAGAACAATTAGTTAACATGATAAGGAGGTTATTACATTCTTTGGCCTACATGTCATAATTATAATTAGCAAATTCTGACAGTTTTAACGAAAATAGCCTCCATCATCTTTGCAGGTATGAAGATAATTATCCACAGCACTTTCAGTGTTTGCTGGACAACAATACACGACTGAGAAGCTATAAATGACACTGTTTCATGACATAAAAATACTAGTTTTTTTCCATTTATTATTTTTATAGGCGTTTACTGTTTGAGTCAAGGTTAGGCTTGTTAAGTGATTAAAGGCAATTTTACTACAGCAGCATGCACCTATTTTATTCTAAAAGAATAAAATCTACAAGCAGGAACAGCTTTTGTATTTGCAACCTGTAAAACTGAGTTATTTTGCTGATATAAAATACAAAGAACTCACTTGAGGACCACGCCACCTTCTGAAAATGCCACACACCTACTTAAGTGTTAAAGTTACAGCATGTCCCAGACTTGTCCAGAGCAACGTTAAGTAGGCAACTGACTGCTCTTGACTGTCCCTTCCCCAGCAATAGCACTGATTGTGTTGGGAAAAGCCACAGGGCAAGTCTGCACAGCCAGATGGAGAGGACTTTTTGTTTAAAGGCAAAATACCAAAATGGTTCTCTGGTGTAGGTGACTTCCACTTTCACACTCAGCTTGTACATGATCCTCTAACCTTAATTTCTTTCTCCTTAAAGGGTTGATTTGGATTGACTTGTTCAGAATGGTATCCATTATCTATTGGGTCAGGAGAGAAAGGGATTTCTGTGCTTACATGTAAACGCGTGATAGGTCCGCAGAAATTATAGGTGAAGAGGGTAGTGAGGAAGTCAGCCACGATCCATCTATGCGAAGGTCACACCAGCTTCATTGTACACTTTGAAGACTTTCTCAATGGCATTGACATAGGCAGCTGTTCTCAGGTCCAATCCCAGGTTGTATTTCATGGCTGTGTGCATAATTTGCCTGGCAGAACGCTCCATTGTGTACGCCAAGCCAGAGTACACAATGTCTTTCTCAGATGCGCCTGATATCCTGTCTTGGAACTCTGCTGTGGGTACAATGGGAATAGTTCCCCCATGCTTTCCAAATTTTCTTTCTAAACTCTCTTGAACAGACATGAGCAAGTGGTAGGTAGAATCCCTTTCATATTTAAAGGTCAAACGGCCAAAGCTGACATGATTTAGATTCTTCAGCCACTCAAAGTATGATACTGTCACTCCTCCAGCATTCAAGTAGAGATCTGGAATAACCATAATGTTTCTCTCCAGGAAGATCTTATCAGCTTCTGGAGTTGTTGGCCCGTTGGCACCTTCAGCAATAATCTTGGCTTTGACTCTGGGTGCGCTGGATTTGGTCAACTGCTTCTCACTGGCAGCTGGGATCAGTATGTCACAGTCAGCCTCCAAGACGCTTCCTTCATAGGGCTTTGCCTTGGGGAAGCCCAGAATGGACCCATGTTGCAATTTGAAGGCTTCCAGTTCATTTGGGTCAATACCATCTGGATTCCATATACTCCCATCAGACTCACCAACAGCAATACATTTAGCACCAACACGATGTAAATATCTTGTAGAGTGCAGGCCCACATTACCAAATCCCTGAACAACAAATGTTTTATCTCCAAATCCTGGTGTCATTCCTAAAATGCTCATGTAAGAAGCTTCATTGATGAAGTTTTCAATCCCATGGAAGACACCACGGCCAGTAGCAGAAATGCGTCCGTGGATGCCCCCTTGACTGATGGGTTTACCAGTAACACAGGCACGTGCATTAATATCGTAGTGGCCTATGGTGTTGGCATAGGTATCAGCGATCCAGGACATCTCCCGCTCACCTGTGCTCATGTCTGGGGCAGGGACATCAATGCGAGGACCAATAAAGCCCTTCTTTGCTAGCTCCACGGTGAACCTCCTTGTGATCTTTTCCAGTTCATTATCAGTATAGTTCTTGGGATTGATCTTAACACCAGCTTTAGCGCCCCCAAACGGCACATCAACCACTGCACATTTGTATGTCATCAGAGAAGCCAAAGCTTTCACCTCGTCTACACTCACATCAGTGCTGTAACGGATACCTCCCTTGCAGGGCATGCGGTGCTGGCTGTGCTGGGCCCGGTAGCCTTCGATGACCTCCCAGGAGCCGTCGTCACGCCGGATGGGGAAGGAGAGGCTCAGCACATGGTTGCAGGGCTTGATGATCTGCAGGATGCCGCGCACCCGGTTCCGTTTCTGCTCCTCGCTCTCCCGGGTCCTCAGGTCCTCCACCAGCTTGTCCTCCACAATGCTGGCGCCGCGGTCGAAGAAGCCCTCCACCATCTTGAAGAAGTTGGGGTCGTCCTCACGGTCGGCCACCACCTCGCTGTAGTGGCGCAGGGCGGCCAATGCGAGCCCCAGCTGCGGGGCGGTGGCCGGCCGTCCCCGGGCCCGGCCCAGCAGCGCGGCCGAGTTGGTGGCCGCCGAGCCCAGGGCGGCGGGCCCGGCCCGGGACAGCAGCAGCGCTTTGCCCAGGTAGCGGTACATGGCGGCGGCGAAGGCGAGGTGCGAGATGGGCGCGGAACAGGCGCGCTTTCTGAGTCCCCGCGACGAAAGAGGAAGGGCCTGGAGCGGGTTGCTCTTTTAAGCCGCAACTTACTTCCTGTCCAGCTGTTCCCTCCCCTCGGGCGCTAACGGACTTCCTGGCCAGGCGCCGCCCACGGCACCAGACCTCCGCCTTCCTTCTATACGTTCTTTTGTCTTCTGTTCTACCTTATATTTTCTTATTTCCTTCTGCTGGCGTAGAAAGGTAATTTATTTCTATTAGTTTTGTGATTTCCCTTTAAAATGTGCATACCAACTTGATTTTATATATGTAAAGTCAATCAATATCTTTTTTAAATTTTCCTTCTGAATATCAAGTACATTAAAATGCTGTAACTTCAACCCACCTCTTACCACTTTACCATATTTTCCAGTACTTTACTATTGGTTGTTTTTATACCGTCAACTGGGTTTTTATTTTTCTTATACAGTTAATTATTGCTATCACTCTTGAATAATAATTTGGCTAGATATAAAATTATAGGTCGGTTTCTTTCAAAACTGAAGAAGTTTTATGTACTTCTGATGTGTATCACTACTGAAAGGTCTCCTGCTTATTTTTTATTTGTAGGTAATATGTCCTTTATGATTGCTTTTAAGATCTTTTTTATTATTTAGTGTAGAGTTTGATCCTGATATGCATAGCTTTTGATTTAGTTTTATTTATCCTTGCTGTTTTAACTCGGATTTTTGCTTCTGATTATTTGGATCTTTCATGATTTGGGATAAAATATGAGCCTTCCTTTTCTTTGACTATTGTCACTCTTGTATTTTATATATTCACTTCTCTGGAATTCAAATTTTATGTGTGTTGAGACTTCTAATTCAATTTTCTATGTATCTGAATCTCTCATATTTTCCTTTTCTTTATTTCTCTGTGCTGTACTATGAATACTTTTCTTTTTCTTTTTTTTCTTTTTTTTTTTTTTTTTTTTTTTTTTTTTGAGACAGAGTTTCGCTCTTGTTACCCAGGCTGGAGTGCAATGGCGCAATCTCGGCTCACCGCAACCTCCGCCTCCTGGGTTCAGGCAATTCTCCTGCCTCAGCCTCCTGAGTAGCTGGGATTACAGGCACGCACCACCATGCCCAGCTAATTTTTTGTGTTTTTAGTAGAGACGGGGTTTCACCATGTTGACCGGGATGGTCTCGATCTCTTGACCTCGTGATCCACCCACCTCGGCCTCCCAAAGTGCTGGGATTACAGGCTTGAGCCACCGCGCCCGGTCACTTTTCTAAGATTTATCTCCAAGATTATTAATTTTGTCTTTAGCAGTTGTGATGCAATGAATAAGATTGTCTAAAAATGACCCCGGGAATTCACTTTGAGTTGACTTGACAAAGATCACACTGGAACCAGGGGCTCTCCCTTTTACCGCAAGGGACTTTGCATCCATTCCGTTTGTCACTGGACCTGTGCTTTCCTCTACCAAACAGGTACTTATGTACAGCAATTTTTCCAGATTCTTTGTGGCTAGCATCGAATCACAGTAATTTTTTTCTGTACATATGGACCATGAAATCTAGAGAGCCTCATGTCTACCAGTCTATGTGGTAATATACTAACAAGACTGTTTCCTAGCATTTGCCAAAAAAAAAAAAAAATCCGTAGAATTACAAGAGAATGAGCTTCTTTTACAGGGTCATAGATCCACACTATGGAATAACACACTTCAGATCTTGGCAAAGCTTTCTTGGTGATGCCAGAATAAAGGGGTCTCACACGTTTTCTTCTCTTGTATATGCAGGTTTCCTTGGTTTATATGTTTCCTTTGAAAACCTTATTTCTTAATCCATGCAGTGTAACATTGTGAAGTTTGTCCCAACCCCTATTATAGGTCAGATGAAGTTTAGTTGCTTATTATATGTTGTTTGCTAGAAAGTTTTGTGATTTAGAATTGTAGATTCATCTTCAGTAGGGCTTTATCTAGTATAAGTGGTTATCAAACTTCAGTATAAATTAGAATCATCTGAAGGACTTACTGAAACACAGATTGTTAGATGTCAACGCTTCCTTTATGTTAAGTTTAGGGTTCTGATTTGGTCAGTCTTGGTTGAGGCTCAAAAATGGGCATTTGTAAAAAATTCCAGGTGATGTTGATGTTCATGGTCCCTAAACATATGTTGGGAAGTACTAGTCTTTAGGGAATCCTTTTCCCTTGCTGAGAATATGTTGCTTCATTGACGTGTACATTGTTTCTATGAAACAATGAAGGGCTATGACCAGTCTAAAGACATTTTAATTTTAATTTATTGGCAACACGTTGCAGATAATCTAAATTCAATTTCCCAAACTAGGTGAAGACAGGCCTACTGTTATGAATTTTTAGAGAACAATTTTTATTTGTGACTTAGGGTAAAGGTTGAAACAAAACAACTTCCTTGTTATATTTTTAATTATATGATAAGTGGAGTTTTTGCAGTCTATGCTTTCACTGAGGTTGAGGCCCCATAATGATTCCAGGCATTAGATAGAATCATTAGGGAATTTCAATTTCCCACTTTGTGAACCCAAGGTCATTAAAAGTCATGTCCTTTTGATGACTGAGAACAGTCAACTTCTTCGAGGGCAGCTACAGTTACAGTTACACTACTTTGCACTGTTTTTGAGATTCCTTTCCATTTGGGGCTTGTAGGCATTTCTTTCTTCTTTATGAGCTCTTATGTGAGCTCTTAATTCCCTTAAAATATATATTATTTATAATATGTGTATTGTCTTATAGTCTCAGTATATATAGAAAGAATATTGTATATTTTCTGTATATTTAAATAGTGTATATATATATATGTGTATATATATATATATATAGAGAGAGAGAGAGAGAGAGAGAGAAAGAGAGAGAGACAGAGAGAGAGAGAGAGAGAGAGAGAATATAGTATAAGAAAATTTCACATTTCTAAATGTATGGCAGAGGGAAGATTTTCAGGTTACTTGGCTTGCCAAATTGCTGGAAATAGAATCTAGTCTTATAATGTTTTCAATTGACATTAAAATTCTACATACTTATGATATTCAATTCAGCATGATGTTTTAAAATATGTGCATTTTGTAAAATAGTGAAATCAAACTAATTAATATATGCATTATCTCACATATTTATCATTTTGGGGGGTGGGTAGAAAACTTAAAGGCTACTCTATTAGCAATTTTTAAGTTTACCATACATTGTTATTAACTATAGTCCTCATTTTTTTACAATAGATCCCATGTATTTATTTATCTTGTCTAACTGAAATTTGGTATCTTTAACAATAGGCTTTTATTTAAAGGTAAACAATCGACAAATGGGACCTAATCAAACTCCACAGCTTCTGCACGGCAAAAGAAACAGTCATTAGAGTGAACCGGCAACCAACAGAATGGGAAAAAAATTTTGCAGTTTATCCATCTGACAAAGGGCTGATATCCAGAATTTACAAAGAGCTAAAACAGAATTACAAGAAAATAACAAGCCCATTCAAAAGTGGGCAAAGGATATGAACAGACACTTTACAAAAGAAGACATACATGAGGCCAAAAAACATGAAAAAATGCTCATCATCATTGGTCATTAGAGAAATGCAAATCAAAACCACATTAAGATACCATCTCGCGCCAGTTAGAATGGCGATCATTGAAAAATCTGGAGACAGCATATGCTGGAGAGGATGTGGAGAAATAGGAACACTTTTACACTGTTGTTGGGAGTGTAAATTAGTTCAATCATTGTGGAAGACAGTGTGGCAATTCCTCAAGGACCTAGAAATAGAAATTCCATTTGACCCAGCAATCCCATTACTGGGTATATATCCAAAGGATTATAAATCCTTCTACTATAAGGACACATGCACACGAATGTTCATTGCAGCACTGTTTACAATAGCAAAGACCTGAAACCAACCCAAATACCCATCGATGATAGACTGGACTTTTTTTTTTTTTTTTTTTTTTTTTCTGTCTGAGAACACCTTTATTTCATCTTCAGGTCAGGTTTACAGGAGATTTTTACGAGATATGCTATTGTAGGGTATTTTTTTCCCTTTAGTGCTTTAAATACATCATACCACTTTATCCTGGCCTGTAAGACTTCCACTGAAAAGTCTACTGCCAGACATATTGGAGCTTAATTGTATGTTATTTGTTTCTTCTCTCTTGCTGCTTTTAGGATTCTTTTGTGTTTTTGATTTTGGGGAATTATATTATTAAATACTTTGGTGTGGTCTTTACATGGTAAATCTGCTTGGTGTTTCATAACCTTTTTGTACTTGAATATTGATATATTTCTCTGTGTTTTTTATGTTCTTTGTTATTATCCTTTTGAATATACTTTCTACTTCTATCTCTTTATTTACTTTCTCTTCAAGACCAATAGATCTTAGAGTTGCCATTTGAGGCTATTTTCTAGACCCTATAGGCATGCTTTATAAGTTTTTTTTTTCTTTTGTTTACTTTGATGCTTCATTTTCAAATAACCTTTCTTTCAGCTCACTAATTCTTTCTTTAACTTGGTCAATTCTGCTATTAAGACTTTGATGTACTTCTTAGTATGCCACTTATGTTTTCAAGCTTCAGAATTTCTAGTTGGTTCTTTTAAATTATTTCAATCTTCTTGTTAAATTTATTTGATAGGATTATAAATTCTTTTTTTGTGTTACCTTGAATTTCTTAGAGTTTTTTTTCAGAGCAAGTAGTTCGAATTCTCTCTCTGAAATGTCACATATTTGTTTTTCCAGGATTTGTCCTTAGTGCCTGATTTAGTTCATTTGATGAGGTGATGTTTTCCTTCATTGTTTTGTTTTTTATAGATGTTCATCTGTGTCTGGGCATGAAAGTGGTATTTAACTGTAGTCTTCACAGTCTGGGCTTGTTTTTACCCATTTTTTTTTGTGAAGGGTTTCTAGATATTAAAAAGGACTTGGATATTGCAAACTAAGCTGTACCTACTTTAGGATGCACTCCAAGCTCAGTAATGCTGTGTTTTTTTCATACATGTAGATGTACCATTTTGTTG